GGTCAGGACATAAAGCGACCTAAAAGTTGATTGCAGGTTTTTCGCACATGACCGAAACTTGTCCTCAAAATAACAAGCTAGTTTCTCCCTTCATTTTCCTGGATCCAAGGTTTCCAAGTCGAATTCAGGACAGGCATGGAGCAACCTAAGTTTTGAATTCAGTTTCGAGGGTCCTCAAGCAAATAAGGACTTTGTTGATATAATCTCACTTTCCTAGTTTTGGAACTGAAATGTGATTAGAAGAACGTGCTCGCAGCTACACACACAAATATACCGTAGGTCATTGCAACACACATTTTTGCATAAATGCAAGTGCGAAAACGCAGATTGCGACGAACCCGGTGTGCATGTGGGTGTGTGTCTGTGTGTGTGTGCGTCTGTCCGGATATTTCAACTCGGCACCCATACAAGCTCTGGTGCCAAAATTTTGCGAGTGGGCTCCCCGGCCAGGTGCCACCCCAGGACCGCGGTACCAGCCGTCACGCACATCTGGGCCCCGCTTATGAGCGCGTGAAAATTTTGGCGGAAAAATCGCTGACTCGGGAACCAGAGAAGCTAGAAAGCTGGTTATGTCCCGTGTCCACTTAGGACTCAAAGTTTCCTAATTCAGTACCCAGCAGTGTGTAGTTCCCGCATTCGACCTGTGAGTGTGCTTGGCGGGAAAATCGCTAAGTTGGGATCAAGGACAGCTGAAAGGCTGAAATTTTAAAAGGATTTTCCCAACCCATGTACAACTTAATTTTATGAAATTCAGCCCCCGGTTATGCATCGTTTTCACGTACAGCCCCGTGAAAATTTTTGGCGGGAAAATGGCTAACTCCAGAACCAGGGAAGCTGGGGGGCTGAAATTTTTAGGGAATGTTCCCTGTCCAAATACAGCGTGGACTTCCGGAATTAACTTCTCGAAATTTGAGGACCAGTATATCACACAGTTCTAGCTACTGGGTTTCCGAGCGATATTATTATAGCATGAAACACTGCAAAAACGCATGATCGCATGGGATCGTGCGGTGCGCGTCGCTAATGATTGCATTTGCATAAGCATGCAGAAACGCACAAAAAACAAATCTTTTTTCAAAAAAAGATTTCTTTAACGTTTATCGGATTTTTAGGAAGTTTCGGTTGCCGCCAAATGTTCCAGCTGAAGCAGTAAACAGTAGTCTTACTGCCGACGGACATCTTAGTGTCAGTGCAAGTGCTCCTCGTTACAAGGTTCTTGCAAATGTCGTCTCAAAGTTAATATGAAAAATACAACAGAAGTTCAAAAAACTATTAGTTTTTGGAATTTGTCTAAAAGCATATTCTTCACGCACTGTAACACATTTCAGGATGATGGTGTTGCGAGGACAATTCCAATCAAAATGGTACCAAGCGTAGTCAAAACGGAAAATATTACGGAAACGAAACCGCAAAACATTACGACAAGCGAGCAGTCGTCGACACAAGGATGAATGAATTGCGCATGATATCCAACAAATTATTTACAGTTTTGTCATGATTTTTTCCTGGTGCTCTATTTGTTTTTTTGCTTTGCACTTCACTGTAAAGTTTCAGTTTTTGATAAAAACAGCACGAAGCTTTTTTCGTATTCTGCTTTTCCGAGTTCCTATATTTGGCCAGCTCAGCGATATTACAAAATGTAGAACGAGCTTTTTGCTCTTTCCAGAGGAGAATTGTGGTGGTACTTTGACAATGTTTCTTTTCCCTCGTTGTTTTGTCACCGCGTTTCTTTTCGTCACTGATGTAGCTGATAATTTCGCTTCTCTGTTCCTTTCCTAGTTTGACTTTTCTCATCCAAATAATTTCATGTCTGCGTTCAAGCAGAATCTTTCGTCGATATGGAGCTTGGAGGCTTGCGCCCCGTTTTTAATGCGTTTTTGCATACATAAAAATTGCAACCCAAGCTGGAACGCACCAGGCGGGCTGGTACGATTATGCGTTTTTGCATTTTTCGTGCCGTAGCAAAATCGCAAGGAATCGCTAGCCCTATAGCATACTGGCCA